AAAACCCCAAAAAAGGATCCCACCCACCGCCACTAACCCAGGATGCCACCCACACCAGTCCACTAACACCCAGGATGCCCCACACCAGTCCACTAACACCCAGGATGCCCCCCACACCAGTCCACTAACACCAGGATGCCACCCACCAGTCCACTAACACCCAGGATGCCACCCACACCAGTCCACTAACACCCAGGATGCCACCCACCCAGTCACTACAACACCCAGGAGGGCCACCCACACCAGTCCACTAACACCCAGGATGCCACCACACCAGTCCACTAACACCCAGGATGCCACCCACACCAGTCCACTAACACCCAGGATGCCACCCACACCAGTCCACTAACACCCAGGATGGCACCCACACCAGTCCACTAACACCCAGGATGCCACCCACACCAGTCCACTAACACCCAGGATGCCACCCACACCAGTCCACTAACACCCGGATGCCACCCACACCAGTCACTGACACCCAGGATGCCACCCACACCAGTCCTAACACCCAGGATGCCACCCACACCAGTCCACTAACACCCAGGATGCCACCCACACCAGTCCACTAACACCCAGGATGCCACCCACACCAGTCCACTAACACCCAGGATGCCACCACCCAGTCCACTAACACCCAGGATGCCACACACACCAGTCCACTAACACCAGGATGCCACCCACACCAGTCCACTAACACCCAGGATGACACCACACCAGTCCACTAACACCCAGGATGCCACCCACACCAGTCCACTAATACCCAGGATGCCACCACACCAGTCCACTAACACCCAGGATGCCACCCACACCAGTCCACTGAACACCCAGGATGCCACCCCACCAGTCCACTAACACCCAGGATGACACCCACACCAGTCCACTAACACCCAGGATGCCACCCACACCAGTCCACTAACACCCAGGATGCCACCCACCAGTCCACTAACACCCAGGATGCCACCCACACCAGTCCACTGACACCCAGGATGCCACCACACCAGTCCACTAACACCCAGGATGCCACCCACACCAGTCCACTAACACCCAGGATGCCACCCACACCAGTCCACTAACACCAGGATGCACCCACCCAGTCCACTAACACCCAGGATGCCACCTCACACCAGTCCACTAACACCCAGGATGCCACCCACACCAGTCCACTAACACCCAGAATGCCACCCACACCAGTCCACTAACACCCAAGATGCCACCCACACCAGTCCACTAACACCCAGGATGCCACCCACACCAGTCCACTAACACCAGGATGCCACCACACCAGTCCACTAACACCCAGGATGCCACCCACACCAGTCCACTAACACCCAGGATGCCACCCACACCAGTCCACTAACACCCAGGATGCCACCCACACCAGTCCACTAACACCCAGGATGCCACCCACACAGTCCACTAACACCCAGGATGCCACCCACACCAGTCCACTAACACCCAGGATGCCACCCACACCAGTCCACTAACACCCAGGATGCCACCCACACCAGTGGGTTTAGATTTAGAAAGGACATAGGAAAGTATTGGTTTGGAAATAGGGTAGTTGATGAGTGGAACAGTCTACCTAGTTGGGTTATTGAGGCTGGACTTTGGGTAGTTTCAAATCCAGGTTGGATAAGTACATGAGTGGGAGGGGTTGGATTTGAGTGGGACTTTCACGTCAGAGCTTATTTCTTGGGTGGCATTGAAAATTGGGTTGGGCAAATGTTTTGTTAGTGGGATGAATTGTAAAGGACCTGCCTAGTATGGGCCAGCAGGCCTCCTGCAGTGTTCCTCCTTTGTTATGTTAAAACTAAACACATCTGAAAAATCAGTGTTGAGGTAACCACAGTGACTTCAAAATTATAAAAGGATATCCCATGCCCTCGTTTTCTTATTGCTTCTCTATACAGTAGCTTTAAAAACATCTCTTCAACTTACTGTGATACTTAACCCTTTCAGGGTCCCCAGGCCCTCTCCCAGACTTATTCTCAGGGTCGCCCAAATTAAAAAAAAAATATATGTTATGAAAAGATAGAGAAGGAGGGGTGTTAATGTTGCAGTTTAAAAAACTGTAGTGTAAAGCACCCTTCTGGCAAGACAGTGATGGAGTGAATGATGGTGAAAGTTTTTCTTTTTCGGGCCACCTTGCCTTGGTGGGAATCGGCCAGTGTGATAATAAAAAAAAAAAAAAGAATCTTTTCCTGAAATTTGATGGAAAAGATTCTCTTATCTTTTCATAATTTTTTTTTTTTTAATTTGGGCGACCCTGAGAATAAGTCTGAAATTTGATGGAAAACTTACGGAATTATGCTCTCGCAAAGTTAGCGGTCTTGACGATGTTTATGCATCGGCAATTTTGCCCAGTTTGAGCCCTATTTTCAGCCAATTCCAGTGTACTAGTCGACAAAAATCATAACTATTTTGCTAGAACTCCATTTTTTCTATCGAATGAGCACAAGAAACCACCCATTTAAACTATCCAATACAGTGGTCAGAATTTAGCAATTTTGCCAATTTCACACAAATTTCAAAAGATGACAATTTCCAAATAGGGTCCAGAATAAACAAGAAAGACATTCCTGGCACTAAAATAACATTTCCTCTGTTCATTAGTCACGTCCCCAGGCCTCTCTTACATTCTTTTGCTTTCCACTTTGAATTTTTATTCTCACAAAAAATAGAAGATTTACTGTTTTGTAGAAATGGTATAAATAATATCGGAACACTTGTGAAAGAATATTAGACTCGCCAGTAGACGTGTATTGGACGCTTAGCATGATTTGTTTACGTTTGAACTTTGATAAAAATCAAACATTTCTACTACTTTGAGCTCAATTTCAAGGTATACTTTTTCTTTGTAAAATCAGTCAAAATCATCTCAATTTCTGTAATATGTCTTCCATTCTATAAAATGAAACCAGGAAAACTAGAATACAAGAATAAATACCATACGAAAATACAGTGCAAAGTCGCTGTTTTAATCCAAAAACACGTTTTTTTTTTTATTACACTTGTGCCGCAGGATTTTTTTTATACTGCGCACACTGCCCACATAGACCCATTCTTTCATATGTAGGCCTACCAGCTTTCTCTCACTAGATTTGAGGGCGCTAGAATTTAGGCGTACTAGTACGTCAAAAACCCTGGTGCGTAAGCCGTACTAGTACGTCAAAACCCCGAAAGGGTTAAGCAACAGTCATAAACAATTACTAATGTCAGGTATTTCTGCTGCTAATGTATTATAATCATTAGTAGTATACTAAGTATGGTAGTTTGTACATTGTTTTTGTCTGCCCAAAATGCTTTGCATAAAGGGGGTTTCATTAAAATGTACAAAAGATGTAAACCTAGACCTGACTGGATACCCTGTACGTATTTCTTGAACACGCACATGTGTAGAGCTGTGTTAAAAATACCTAAGATAAACTGCTGCTTTCATTTCATGTATTAGAATAAGGCACAGGATAAACTGTCTCAAGCTGGCTACCATCCAAGTTTTGCACACTCAAAAAGACCACTTGCCAACATTCTAGAACAGTGTCCCACAAAATTACTAGTGTAGATACTGTACTCAGATTCTCTGACCATATGTTGCATCTGCTTCCCTTGCACAGTCTGGTCTACAGCTCTAAGTCACCCAATGTTCCTCTTAGACCCTGACTGTTGGCCTTCATGAGTACTTACTTCATATAACCTGATAAAGCTCAGTGAAACATTTAATGAAGGCTTGTTTTGTCTAATCCAAACAAGTTTAGTGCTTTTTTTTTTTTTTTTTTTTTAAGTGTTTTATACCATGTTTACCAGCCAGAATGACTGAATTTTATTACAGGTTGACATGTACATATTTAGAGGATTTTATTTTTTATTTTTAAATGAGACAACATAAGCAAGTATTATTTTATTGCTGTAGATTTTTTTATACAAAAATATAACAGTATATACAATATCTACACTTGTGTGTGCACAAGAAGTCACATATACAATACACTAGTTTGGATATACATTTATCCCCCCCCCCCCCATAAAATTAAACCCAGAGCTATTTTATGTTTTAAGATAAAATTGTGATTCTTAAGAGTATTACATTCAAAGCACAATGACAACCATTCCCCTCCCCCAATGTAGTTTGTAAAACATGCCATAAAGTTTATACTGAATCATGCTGATTTGAGGGATTCTTGATCCAAGATCAAGATCAATCATAATTTCATAATTGCCTAATTCACCAAGCCTTGTAGGATCCCTGTTTTGGCCTATGCCAAACCTTGCTTATATTTATTAATTTCAGTGAATCCCTTGGCCTGGACCAGAAGGCCTACATCAGTACAGCATTTAGCTTTAACTTGACATCTTACCTTATATATTCTGACTTCCTTCCTGTTGCACATTTTAACAAAGACTTCAGCTAGGAGTTAAAATATGACTAATTTCATTTTCATGGCTGTTTTTGTAATCTGCATGAAGGACAGCGTTCATCACATTATAATTTGTTATATAACGTACAGTGGACTCTCAATTATCGGCCGTAATCCGTTCCAGAAGGTCGGCCGATAACCGAAATGGTCGAAAACCGAATTAATATTTCCCATAAGAATTAATGGAAATACAATTAATCCGTTCCAGATAAAAATATTCAATTTTTTTTTTTTTACAATTATGTAAGTTTTACATACCTTTATTGAAGGATAATACTGGCTTCTGGAAGATAGGGAAGAGGAAAGAGGGAGGAGTTAGTGTTTGGAAGGGGAATCTACCTCTATAAAGACTTTAGGTAGCAAAGCCTTCTCTGGGGTTACTTCCCTTCTTTGCCTTTTAATGCCACTAGGACCAGCTTGAGTCACTGGACCTCTGTCTCACAACAAATCTGTCCATAGAGGTCTGTTTCTGGCATCTCTCTAAGATTTCCCTCTTAGCACTTCTTTTTGATTATAATAATAATAATCTAAGATTTCCCTAAAGTGGGACAGGGTTTTGTCACTGAACATATTGCAGATATGGCTTGTTTCAGCTTGGTGTGTCTACAAAAGCTTGCACCCTGGTCCACATTGCACACACCTCTTTAATCTGTCATTTACTGCTACAGTACATTCATTATTAACCTTAAAATATTTGTAGTCTTAATGTAGGGCAAAAGGTGAGTAGTATTTATTTGTAGGAAGTCAGTGTAGGTAGCAGTAAATGTAGGTACAGTACATGTATGTGGGGCCCCCCCTTCCCCCATGCTACACTACACAACTATATTACAATACACAGCCATATTATTACCATGTTCACTGAGCTTAATCATCTCTAACAACTACCTTTAGATGCCATCATAAACAAAGGGAGAAGTAATGAATAATTCATGCCAAGAATTTTAAACAAATGCATATGAAGGGCGGTTACTGCACCAGTCGCCAGATTCAGTTTTCTCTAGCGCTGCATCGGAGAAAACGTAATGTTTACTCTCCATCCCACTCTCCACTCGATAACATATAAACATTGCATGTTTATATGCTACATATGTAACTTGTTTAAGAACATAAGAACGAAGGAACACTGCAGAAGGCCTACTGGCCCATGCGAGGCAGGTCCAAGTCTGCTACCGGCTTAAGCCAATGCACCCAACCTAGTCAGGTCAGGTCACATTGACTTAAGGGTAGCAACAGTAAACGGTAGCAACGGTAGCGGTAGCAACAGTAAACGGAAAAGGAGGATGGTGTACTACAAGTATGGTGACAATGGGTAAGTGAGGAGAGAAAGTGAACAAACTAAACAAAAGGACAGTTAGTCTTATATAATTTTGAAAATATCATAGATGGATTTATGAAAATGTCTATATTAACGTAAAATAAGACATTTAATGTGGCAAGTGATTATTAATATACATTACATGTTTATATATGCTATAACGTGTTTCTTATATAATTTTGAAAAAGATACAATGGATTAATGAAAATGTCTATATTAATGTAAAAAAAAAATTTAATGTACAAGTGATTATTATTAAATATCACATATAAAATCACTCGCTACGAAAGCAAAAGACTTGGCAGATGATGCAACATCCCCCCAATGAAAAGCAGGGGTGTCACTAGCACGTTAAGAGACCATACAATAAGTGTCAGGGGCCCGAGACTGTTCAACTGCCTCCCAGCATACATAAGGGGGATTACCAACAGACCCCTGGCAGTCTTCAAGCTGGCACTGGACAAGCACCTAAAGTCGGTTCCTGACCAGCCGGGCTGTGGCTCGTACATTGGTTTGCGTGGAGCCAGCAGTAACAGCCTGGTTGATCAGGCTCTGATCCACCAGGAGGCCTGGTCACAGACCGGGCTGCAGGGGGCGTTGACCCCTGGAACTCTCTCCAGGTATAAGCATTGCATGTTTTTATATACTATGTAACGTGTTTCTTTGGGCCCATGGTTGCTTATTTTGCAGTTGCACTCGACCACAAAAAGCAATGGATTATAGCAAAATGTTTGGATGAATGAGCAGAAGCTTCCTCACTCGCCCAGAGCCAGTCAAACTGACTTGCAAGCGGCCCCAGCCGGCGGATGGACGCCTCCCAAATGGCTGATAAATGAATTAATGGCCGATAACTGAACCGCCCGATAACCAGGGGTCCACTGTATATATAAATAATACGTGGTAAAGCATGTCCTACATGTATATAGGAAAACAGCTATGGAAATTAGAATATTTCAGCTTCCAGCTGGGGTGCTTGGTAGAATGTACAATAGAGCAAGAGAGCAACACGTGCAAGTTTTGGAATATCACATGACAAAACAAAAACCTTTATTATAAACTGTTTTATTATGATTTGCATCAAGTATTGCCATCAGTTAAAATGCAAAATTAAATCTTTTAAGTGTGAGGCATCAGAGCTACAAGTAAAATTTTTACTGTTAGAAATGTATTAAATTGCCTAAATTCCTTATTTATGATAATGTCAGAAGTACTTTATCCAACCACTATAACAGCTAGTTATGATGTACATTATACTTGGCCCAAAAGATAAATAAAAAAAAAATTAAATTGCAACATATTTGCTCTGATAAGCATATTTCTATTCATCACAATATCTAAAAGGACTAACAAGATAATCTATACAGATTAACTAATAAAAATGCACTTTCTCTATACAGTTCAATAAGTTATATGTCACTAAGTCAGCTGGAAGCCACAGTTGAAGCCCTTCTGCTTCCTTTCTTGGTGGTTGATTGGCACGCCCACGTCAAGGACTGGAAGGGAGAGAATTGGTACAAACCAGAATGGCTTCATGTACTAGTGATTTATCAGTTATGTTAAGTGGACACATTAATATTCCACCATGGAAGACTGACTCAAGAAAGAGGAAACACTTGCCATCATTTATCTTGCTAGGAGTGTAATGACATCACAATTCAGATAACCCTCTGAACTGTAATATCCTCACCCTTCAGAGTACAGGCACTGTCCTTCCCACCACTAGGACTGATTTGGTTAACCAAAATTTCACTTCCTAGACGTTACCTTGCTCACACTCCAGCAGCACATACATTAAAAATCACTTTTTCTCCATTCACTAATTTAACCTGTCACACCAGCCTCCTGGATATTCAAGCTCCACAATGAAACCACCATCACTTATTGTCTTACCCATTTGCCATCCTCATTCTTACTCATCACACTCCATCTATTATCCTTCATCACGTGTCCTCTTATCTACATGTTATGTTCACCGACTATTGATCATGCCTCATCACTTGCCTAATATCATCTGGTGGGAAGATGGTGTGGACAGATGGTGTTTGCGAGTATGTTGGTGTAAATGGCATTGATTTCTCCCTCTACGTGGTACATCATCTCCCCATTGCCCTCACGCCTCGACACCACCTGAAACTCCAATCTGTTTTAACCTTCAGTCACCTGATATAGCTCAGTTATAAAACCTTATTTTACCTAATACTACCCACATTCATCTGATATGGCTAACCCACCTGATGCTGCTACTTAAATAAAATTCTGAGATTTGCAAGTAATGAAAATTAAGTAAGATGATCAAACAAGAAATATATTATGGAAGGCAAGATACTGCAGAAACCATGAAAGGAGCAAAATCTGGGAGCAAGCATAGCATCAGAACTCCCTTTGATTGGTAAAGGTCTCTTATGTAAGGAATGAAAGATACCCTCCCCTTCCTTGGACTAAATTTGATTACTTCCCATGCATGACTGCTACATCTGTATGATCCTTATGGGTTTTGCACTTAGTTATGATTATAATAACCTCTACAGGTTTTGCACTTCTTCATTAATAATAATAAAATAATCAGTAAGTACCTAGCAATCGTAAGCCTCTGCAGTACCTGCAAAACTAGCTAACCTACAAATTGTATTCATCCTAGCATATACAATGTCAGCAGAGTCCATGTTTGATCAAGCATAGCAAAACAAAGATTCTAAGGAACTACTTGTCCTCCCCTTCAATGGCTCAAAACCCCAGGCACTATGATCCCCTGCTGGTTAAGCACTTCACCCCTGATTAAAATTAATGAAAAAAAAAAATTGAAGACTGGTGCCAAAACTCAGAGGACTGGACTGAGAAAACACTAATTAGTGCACAGGAACAGGCGTGTACATGAAGGCCAGGGGCCAGTCAGATGGCAACTGAACCACAGGGGCATTAAGTACTTTTTTAGTTTTTGGGTAGTATGTGGTATACACTAGATCAGTAGTTTCCAATCTAAGAGGTGGGGACCATGATGCTATGCTGCATACATTTCCCCCTCGGTCAATGTTTGAAAAACTTGAAGCCAGCCAATGGTATGGCAATGGCATGACTACCTAATATATCTCACTCTCTGCTGACCTGGATCCTTCAAGGAATTGGAGATAACCTCTCATTTGAAATAAACGTGATCATCTCTTATTTCCCCTTTAATCCACTCTCTCATTGCCTTTTTGACAGCAACTGATTTATGAAACAAACTCTGATGATGATGTCTCTGGCACTCTTAGCCCTTTCCACCTTAATCTCTAGCTACTCTCTACCCCTGCACTATCCACTGCCCCGCAACACTTCATAACCTAATAATCATCCCTTTCCCTCTTACTACCCATTACCCCTGCATCCTTCCCTGCCCTGCTGTACTGTATAACCCTTGTGGTTTAGTGCCTCTTTCTGATAATAATAACCTATTTCCCAGGTGCTGTATGACCCTTACAGATCTAGCAGTTTCCCATGAATATAATGATAAAGAACTAGACTATTTGGCACCTCAATGAGTTGCTTTTAAATAAACTAATTACGTACTATGGTTTCATGGCTATTCAGTGCTGCATGACCCTTGTCGGTTTAGCCCTTTATTTGATTATAATAATAAGAATCATGGCTGTTCAAACCCCCCACTGTTTCCTACATCCTCCACTCTCAGCAGTACCTGTAACTCACCTGGTGAAAATGGCAGGCACACTTTCCCTGGAGAAAGTGTCTATAGCGGGCTGCAGTCATGTTGAAAGTGTCGACGACCTGGTAGCCGCGGTGGTGAGCATATGATGCCAGGTTCATAGAGTGCTCCAGGAGGCGAGAGTGGTCACGCTGGTTGAGGAAAGGTCTCAAGAGAAAAGAGGCTCTTACAATGCTGGGTGTTAAAAATGTAAATAATTTAATCAACATAATGTCTTAAGAACAGGGTTAATTTCCTGAGTCATGGGCGAGGGGCTCTTGATTCAAGAAATTGTACTCGTCTTCCCAGTCCTTGCTACAAACCTGATTACCTCCCATTCCCCATGTGCTGCATCATACCTACAGGTTTACCACTTACCCTTGAATATACAGTAACAATCACCAGGGCCAGTACACACATGTATAATTATCAGAAAACCTGTAAATGCCCCTAATCTCCCTGGAGAGTTGATACTTACCAGGGACACAGTGTGAACACCTGGAGCAGCAATGTGGAAGCCAGCTCCTAGGGTCTTCAGGATCACTGTAGCTCCCTGGAGACCTTCCCTGTAGGCCAAAATGTACTTTTTAGTGAATCACGATTCATACTTGCTAAGATTTAATGACTTGCATCAGTGATAACTTCCTAACTCATCCCTCAATGCCTTACAGAGGCATGCATCTGGTTCCCTTATATTTACTGACCACCTATCGTACCACTGCCTTGTCGGGCTGACTGACCCACAATCTACTTTCCCTAACTGACATCTATTACTGTATTCAGAAACTGAAAGATACCCTACTGACAAAGTTCACGTTAATGAAGTTAATTTCAAAAGAGAAAAAAAAGCAAGAAGTAGCAAACTTAGTTCAGAACTAGAACCAAGTACGCTATTTTGTATCATTATTATAATCAAGGGGGAAGCGCTAAACCTGTAGGATTATACAGCACATTATTTTATATATTACTGAAATGTACTAAGTATGTGCTGCCTAACCTTGCCAACGATAACCACTGCAACTTGACCTTCTTATAAAATATAAGGGGACTTAATTAATCTTAAACACGTTTGGCAGTTTGGAGGGATATGTTGTGTATCTTTATATGTGTATGCTTCTAAACTGTTGTGTTCTGAGCACCTCTGCAAAAACAGTGATAGTGTGTGAGTGTGGTGAAAGTGGGGATTTTCTTTCTTTTTTGGGTCACCCTGCCTCGGTGGGAGACGGCCGACTTCTTGAAAAAAAAAAAGTTTAACTCTATTATTTGATAAAATAATGAAGTAATTCAATTTAACAAGAGATGGAATACTGCAGTAATTTTACTATACCAGTAAATTGAATTTTTTTTTAACAAGTCGGCCGTCTCCCACCGAGGCAGGGTGACCCGAAAAGAAAGAAAATCCCCAAAAAGAAAATACTTTCATCATTCAACACTTTCACCTCATTCACACATAATCACTGTTTTTGCAGAGGTGCTCAGAATACAACAGTTTAGAAGCATATACGTATAAAGATACACCATATATCCCTCCAAACTGTCAATATCTCAAACCCCTCCTTTAGAGTGCAGGCATTGTACTTCCCATTTCCAGGACTCAAGTCCGACTATTAAAAATAACCGGTTTCCCTGAATCCCTTCACTAAATATTACCCTGTTCACACTCCAACAGATCGTCAGGTCCCAAATACCATTTGTCTCCATTCACTCCTATCGAACACGCTCATGCACGCCTGCTGGAAGTCCAAGCCCCTCGCCCACAAAACCTCCCTTACCCCTTTCTTCCAACCTTTTCGAGGATGATCCCTACCCCGCCTTCCTTTCCCTATAGATTTATATGCTCTCCATGTCATTCTACTTTGATCCATTCTCTCAATGACCAAACCACCTCAACAACCCCTCTTCAGCCCTCTGACTAATACTTTTATTAACTCCACACCTTCTCCTAATTTCTACACTCCGAATTTTCTGCATAATATTTACACCACACATTGCCCTTAGACAGGACATCTCCACTGCCTCCAACCGCTTCCTCGCTGCTGCATTCACAACCCAAACTTCACACCCATATAAGAGTGTTGGTACTACTATACTTTCATACATTCCCTTCTTTGCCTCCATAGATAACGTTTTTTGTCTCCACATATACCTCAATGCACCACTCGCCTTTTTTCCCTCATCAATTCTATGATTAGCCTCATCCTTCACAAATCCATCCACCGACACATCAACTCCCAAGTATCTGAAAACATTCACTTCTTCCATACTCCTCCCCAATTTAATATCCAATTTTTCTTTATCTAAATCTCATCACCTTACTCTTTTCTATGTTCACTTTCAACTTTCTACCTTTACACACACTCCCAAACTCATCCACTAACCTTTGCAATTTTTCTTTTGAATCTCCCATAAGCACAGTATCATCAGCAAAAAGCAACTGTGTCAATTCCCATTTTGTATTTAATTCCCCATTATTTAATCCTACCCCTCTCCTGAATACCCTAGCATTTACTTCTTTTACAACCCCATCTATAAATACATTAAACAACCATGGTGACATTACACATCCCTGTCTAAGACCTACTTTTACCGGGAAGTATTCTCCCTCTCTTCTACACACCCTAACCTGAGCCTCACTATCCTCATAAAAACTTTTTACAGCATTTAGTAACTTACTACCTATTCCATATACTTGCAACATCTGCCACATTGCTCCTCTATCCACTATCATATGCCTTTTCTAAATCCATAAATGCAATAAAAACTTCCCAACCTTTATCTAAATACTGTTCACATAATATTAATATCAAATGTTATAAGGTAATTTTACCATCCCACTTAGGTATTACTGTAGTATATTTGGCCAAAGCTACAACAAAAGTTATTGCAAGTAAATGTGACAGTACTATATGACCCTAATGGGTTAAGCACTTGGTTTTGATAATAATAATAATGCAAGTAAATGTGAAATGCAGTGAGCAACTGGATCACACTTCTTGATGTCATCACATTGCTCATGACAATGCTCTCCCTTATCTCCAAGTTTTTAATCAAACTTAACTGATTCCTTGCTTAATCTTAGTTACACTTTCAATACCCCTCAAGGAAGGTTCCTTGACGCTGGTGAGGGGTTCTTGATCTAGGGAATTGGATCTGTGTTACAGTTTCCTGAATTAAGCCAGAATACCTTCCATCCCCATCCCCCCCCCATGGGTTTAGCACTTCCCCATGATTATAATAATACTCTTTCAAAATGATGCCACTTCTTGGGCCACTCTCTCATAACACAAAGGCACTTGGCCTAATGACTGCTTATGCTGCTCCTGTTATCATCAAGTGTTTGTGTATTTCTCTGTAGAACATTATGCAACTGCATTCGAGTGAAATGCTGTCTAATAAGCAGTTACATATTTCCACTATATTATGGCAATAGCCCCAGCTGCTACTTCTACAGCCAATATGGTACAGTAATACTTCATGAAATAATAGAGGGACTAGTACTTAACCTGTGAAGAGCTGTGGTGACCATATGCAAGTGCTGGACAGCAACCCAGTGGACGCCACCCACTACCACGATGGTGTCCGAGCTGTTACGTAGTGGGCCAGCCCTGCAACAGCACTGACTAAAGTCTTTACATTATGTTAGACTGGTTACATGCAAGCTGTGAATTTGCTTGGCTGGAAGCTCAACATACCTCTCAGACAGCATCGCTGAAAGACTTGTACAAGCTTAACAATTTTCTATGAATATGAAATTACTCATTAGACAGGTTTTAGTTTTCCTGACCTAAAGTGCAAACTATTTACTTCGAAACTGTTTCTTCTGTGTAATATATGTCTTAGTTCTGTGAGCTGGTTGTCTTAGACTGGTCATAGTACAATAGCTGTCTTAGTCTTGTGTGTTATATATACTGATCATTTTTTTACTTATTGCTCATTACTAGCTGCATGTGACAATCTATTTATATTAGTCCTGAGTGCTAGCAGTTCTACTTAATAACAAACACCACTACGTGTGTTTTATACCCTTAACACTCTTAACTTTCACCGTAAGTTTTTTAGAAGTGAGCAAATGTCATTTGTTTAGTATGTTTTGAAAGCGTAATCAATGGCTGGTTTAACACGTTCCTTTTTAGATCACAAACTAAATGGAAACTAGAAGATGGTTTGATCCATCCAAGAAATAAGCTGCAAATAAGAAAAAGAAGGGAAAAAATCCAGAAGACTTGATAATGAACAGTGATTGAACAAAATGCTGTCTAGTTTTTATTTACAGTTTCTGGGCTAATTATGCTGAGCTTTAATGGCTATATTAATGTGCACTCAAAACTGACTGTGGAACAAATGGTCATAGTGGCACTTCTATCATCTACGTATTATATAGCCGTCATCCCTACCTGTGCAGGAGCTGGTAGAGAGTTTGGTCAAAGACAGGCCTCTGGTTGGAAGGAAGCCAAAATTTGGGATAGTAGGCAAAGGCAAAGGTGGTGTGGCCATGGTTGGCACCACGAATGACCCTCAAATCATGAGTCTTGTCCCAGGAGGTGAGGCTGCCATTGAGTCGCTGAAGGAGCAAGTATAACATCCCTCTGTTGGTGCTGTCACCCAAGAACACCAGCTGCAGCACAACACATCCTTACCATTTCAGTATTTAAATAAAAGATACAAAAGACTGATGGGTTAAATCAGGTATGATGCACAGCCTTCCTATTTACCCGTGAATGCTGGAATATATCTTAGTTATTCATGATTACTGAACTTTTAATGTTGAGAATCAGGGTACAACGACTAGAAGCTCATGATAATTGTTGTTACATGTAAACTTTATGGCAACTTTCTCTTCCTGTGTATTTAAACAATAAATTTCACATGTATCTAAGGTTTTAAATTTTAAGAATTTTGTATTCAATGTGAAAAACTTAATTTCATTACAAGGTAAAAATATAAAGTGCAATATATTTATACATACAGTACTATACTTTAAGGGTAAAAAATCTTACCCCAGCAGTCATGTACAATACTGTAACATAAACAAGTAACAAACACTGACTGGCACACTGAGCTAGAAATCTATACAGATATTGACAAATGTATTAATAATTTTCTAAAAAAGACCCAATACCTCTATAACAAGCACTGCCCTAAAAAAACTAAACAGATGACTGCAAAGAGACTGAACAGTCCCTGGCTAACACCCAACATTCTCAAACCCATAAATACAAAACACCGATATGAAAAACAGTACAGAATGGGTCACATAACCAGAGACCAAACAAAACGTTACTTGTCAATCCTAACCAGCCTGATAAGGGCAAAAAAATTGTATTATGAGAACAGATTATCCAAATTACGAGGTGATATAAAAAAGACCTGGAAAACCCTATCAGAAATTCTAGGAACAAAAAAGATATCACGAAATAGCGAAATAAAATTAGCAAAATCAGATGAACCCCAACTCCCACCAACAGAAACAGCAAACAGACTCAATGATTTCTTCTCCACTATAGGACAAAACCTTGCCAATGAAATCCCAAGCTCAGATACCCCACCAAATGACTACCTCACTGGCAACTACCCGAACACACTGTTCCTAGCTCCAACTAACCCATACAAAGTCTCCCTTATTATCAACGCACTAAAAAACAAGGCAGGAGATTTAAATACCTTACCACCCTTTATATACAAAAAAGTGTCACAGGTGCTATCACCAATCATTGCAACACTCTTTAACAAATCCATTGAATCCTCCACCTTCCCTACAGTTCTCAAAATAGCAAGGGTCACCCCGATCCATAAAGGAGGAGACCAAACAGAGTTGAATAACTATAGGCCAATATCCAACTTACACCCTCTCTCAAAAATCTTCGAAAAATTAATTCATAAACGAATCTACTCCTACCTCATCTCCCAAAACATACTCAACCCCTGTCAATTTGGGTTCAGGCCTAATAAAAATACTAATGATGTTATTATCCACATGCTAGAACATATTTATACAGCAATAGAGAAAAAACAAGTCCCACTGGGGATCTTCATTGACTTACGTAAAGCTTTTGATACAGTTGACCATGACTTGCTCCACATAAAATTGTCACACTATGGTATAAGAGGGCACGCCCTCAAGTCATACCTCAGCAACAGAAGCTAATATGTGTACGCAAATGGGGCAAACTCTTCCGCACAACCAATTACAGTTGGTGTCCCACAGGGAAGTGTCCTTGGCCCTCTTCTCTTTGTCCTATACATAAATGACCTACCAAATGCTTCGCAATTACTCAAACCCACACTATTTGCAGATGACACTACATACGTCTTCTCTCACCCGAGCCCAGTCACGCTAGCCAATACTGTAAATACCGAATTACAGAAAATATCTACCTGGATGAGGACTAACAAACTTACACTAAACATTGACAAAACCTACTTCATTCAGTTTGGTAACAGAGCTACAGATGTCCCTCTTAACATAATGATAAATGGATCACCTATCACAAAGCTAACAGAGGGAAAATTCTTAGGAATCCACCTTGATAATAGACTCGAATTTCATACACATATACAACAAATTTCTAAGAAAATTTCCAAGACCGTAGGCATACTATCGAAGATACAGTACTATGTTCCACAGTCAGCCCTCCTGGCCCTATATCACTCTCTTATTTACCCCTATCTCACCTATGGAATTTGTGCATGGGGCTCAACAACAATTAACTATCTCAGACCACTAATTACCCAACAAAAGGCTGCAGTCAGAATGATAACAAATTCCCACTACAGACAGCACACTCCACCAATATTCAATACACTAAACCTACTCACCATACAAAACATCCATACTTATTACTGCACCTATTACATACATAGAACACTTAACTCTGATATTAACCCTCCCCTCAAACATCTCCTCGCCAACCTCAACAGAACACATGACCATAACACAAGGCACAGATCACTCTTTGATGTTCCTCGTGTCCACCTCACGCTATGCAAAAACTCAATGCACATAAAAGGCCCTAAAATCTGGAATTCATTACCTGTAAATATAAAAGAAACACTACCTGTTTATAAATTCAAGTCTCTTCTCAAAGATCACTTACTCACCCAAAACCAAATAAATACTGAATAACTGAACCTTATAAATTGTATATCTTAAATGTTTCTCACAATTATATCACATAAATGTTTAACCTAAAACCCAATCTAACTTTGTTATTTTTTTAAATACACTACCTAACAGAATACTCCATTCTACTGAATGTACAGCAATGCATGCAACCATATGACCTGTCTTTGTAATACTCATTTGTGCTTTATTGTTATCTGTTTACAATAATGTTTTATCACTGATTACATCATTGCTTAGTTAATCTTAAGTTAATTTTAAGCCAGCCCATAATGCTATGCATACAAGTGGCTTTGGCATACTGCTCTTATCTGTATTTTTTTGTACCTCTGTATGTATGCTCAAATTACTAAATAAATAAATAAATATCATTGAAGTACAGTGGACCCCCGAGTTTCGTGATTAATCCGTTCCAGAGTCTGTCGACTGGCGAAATTCACGATTGGCAAATCTATTTTCCCCATAAGAAATAATGGAAACCCAATTAATCCATTTCAGTCAGCCAATATTAAAAAAAAAAAATTTTTTTTAAAGATTAACCCTTAAACGGTCCAAACGTATATATACGTTCACTCGCGCAGCGCCCCGAATATTTTGAAAAAAAAAAAAAAAAAAATTATATAGAAAAAAAGAGCACATTTTTTAAAGTGTTTTAGCATAAAAAAAATAATTTAGGGTCAGTACAACATATTTACTGTTTTCTTCTCATTTTTTTTTTTTTTTCATTTTCTTGGTTTTCATGATATGACAATTAAGTTTCATAGTAAGTCATTTGATATCAATGCCAATTTTTTTTTATACACCAATATTACATACGAAATTTTTATCATATTGTCATAAACACACTTGTACACACTGACAGGTGATTTTGCACACCTGGCTGAATCACACATTATTATCTACAACTATATACAAGTATTTACATGTCCCACTTATGTTTCTAGAACTCCACAATTGTATGATACTCCATGAAGCATGGATTCATACAGAGTGCCACCCCACACTGGTGACACATGAATCGTGTGTCCTTCCGCTGTTGGGGTCGTTTTTTGGTGGTAGCACACACAATACACTTTTTCTGGGCATTTTTCTTCTTTTGGGTAGGTGGTATTGGTACCAGATAGTGACAGTTAGGAGTGATTCGGTCTGGCACTTCCCCCACTGGCTGTGGTTGGTGGACAGGTCGCTGTTGAGGGGAAGGTACAGGTGTGGTACCATACTTTCTTGCTATCTGTTTGACGAGATTCAAGAGAGAATCTGCAAAACGTTGTCGTTTTCCAGTCTTTACTTCGTACATATTGAATGCATTGAGCACTGCAATGTCTACAAGGTGAAAAAACAGTTTTATATACCACTTGCGACTCCTACGCACACAGTCAACAAACCCTATCATGTCACACCTGTCAACTAGTCGCATATTGTTCGTATAGTCCACGACAGCAAGTGGCTTCACAATAGGTTTGTTGTTGAACTTGCTCAGTCTGTCTGTTTGTACCATCTCGTTTCTGTGGATGGTTGATAGCAGTGTCACGTCTCGTTTGTCATGCCACGTCAGTGCCATGATGTCATTAGCATGAAACGCTTGCACTTCACCTTCAACACTGCCTCCAGTGAACCTTGGCATATGTTTCCTATTCCTTCTCACTGTTCCACATATATCAGTATTGTTCACACGTAGGAAATCAGCAAGCACAGGGCTTGTATACCAGTTGTCTGTGTACAATGTATGGCCCTTGCCAAGGTATGGTTCCATCATCCTGCGAACATCACCGGAAATGCCCAACATCCTTCTGTCATCATCGAGTGTGTTTTTCCCTGTGTATACAATTACATCCAACACAAGACCACTCTCACAGTCACACATAACAAAAAGTTTTATACCAAAGCGATTACGTTTGCTCGGTATATATTGCTTGAATGACGGCGTCCTTTAACAGAATCAAGGACTCATCAACAACAATGTTTCTTGAAGGATAAAAGTATACACTGAATTTCTGCTTCAAATACATAAACACTTCCCGGATTTTGTATAGAAGGTCATTTCTGTCTGGCGTATTTCTGTCTGCGAAGTGCAACATTCGTAGCAACAGAGTGAATCTGTTGCAGGGAAGGAGGTCACGGAAAACTGGAGTACTGATGAAGTGGTCTGTAGACCAGTAATTACGTATATTGTTCTTATAGATATGTGGCATAAGCATGACAGTGGCAAGGAATAAATACATTTCAGCCACTGTTGTGTCTTTCCACCTGTGCAGCCGTGATGATTCTCCAACCTCTGCTGTGTTGTCCATGACATATTGGTAATAATTGTTTGTCTGAGTCACTATCAAGTTCATTATAGGCTCGTCAAAGTACAACTGGAAATAGTCTAACTCTGTAGACTCATTCGTTATGGGACATTCTGGCTGGATACCACTTCCACAAGCATCAAAATCACAAGGCTGTGGCACGAATATACTTTGTGTCCAGTTCCACTCACGATCACATGGTGCAGGGTGGACCTGTGGCATGGGGCGAGGGGGGGCAGGAGGAGGAGGGAGAGGAGTGGAGGCAGCACATGGTTGAGGGGGTGCTGGGCGGTCTTTTGTCTGTCCACCCACTGCGCCATGTGGTCCAGGCACCATGCCACCCAGCACTACTTCCTCCATCCCCGCATACTCCCCTTTGTGATCACTTTCACTATCAGTGGCCGGGGTTTTGGATCGTGACCTGCCACGACACTTGGGGATTGCATATGGCACACTGCCTGAACGTAGATAACGACGCCTAAAAGTACGTTTCACTGGTGAATAATGAACGTCACTATCACTAGATGAATCCTCAATTGGCATAAAATCAATCTCATTGTCACTTACATCACTTTCACTATCACTAAAACACTGGGAAAATGATAGTTT